CAGTGCTTTGGCTGGGGTCTGTGCCAGCCAGAGAGGAGCTGACATGAATCCCCCGTGCTCACCCAGCAGAGCCCAGCTGCAGAGGGGTTAAATCGCTCTCCTCCCTGCACTTCTCTCCCTGTTGTTTTATTAAATTAGAAGCGAGGGGCTGGAATGTCTCATCCCCATCTCCCCCTTCCCACCCTCTGGGGTCAGAGCAAGGACAGTCTCGCTATGAGCTCCCTCCCAGCTGCAGGGTTCCCCCCGCTCTCCCCCCTGGGCGGTCGTGATAGGGGTGGTGGGAGCTCCTCTCAGCGGGTGAAGCCAGCCCGTGGGGAGTGGGAGCAGGCGCTGGTGGCCTTTTCCCTTGCATGCCAAGTTAATTGAGACGTGCCTTAGTGCTGGGGAGTTGTGCCAGCCCCGGCAGAGGAGTCATGGGAAGGGGGCTTGAGGCCATGTTTTGGTACAGGAGGTTCCTGGAGCTGACTTGTGGCAGAGAGGATGTGGTTGCATCTGTCTGGTGGAGGTTCGTAGCGATGGGCTGTCATGGAGGAGATGTAGAACAAGCCAAGAAGGTGCAATCTGTGGGTCTGGAACATAGAGTAGGAGCCCAGTTGGGGGTGAAAAATTGCTGAGGCTGGTTGAGCTTGGGGGCCACCTCAGACAATGCGCAGCCCCCTTGCCAGCTGCCAGGGAGATGCTGGACAGACAAATCTCTGTCTCCCCATCGCTCCTCCTTGGTCCTGGCCAAGGCTGGAGCCCCACACAGAGCCCAGAGCGGGTCTGGCAGGGCTGGAGACTCATGGGATGAGACAGTGCTGCCCAAATGAGGGGGTGACTGGGGAGAGGCAGGGGGAGAGGGCAGCTCTGGGGACACAGCCCCTCTCTGCCCCCAGACCCCTCATCTGCCTGAAGGAGGGGAGCAGCCCCTAACCTGCCAGCGCAGAAGGGAGCCCCGCTCAGGCATGACAGCCGCCCCAGGGAAGGGGGCTCGCACGTGCCTGCGCAGACGCGTTTGTAGCTGTCTGGGGACCCCTCTGGGCTGACCTTGCCTGGGCCCCGGGTCCCAGCCTGCCTGCACAGGCATGAACCCACCTCCCTACAGACCCCAGCGTCAGCCCTGCAGCACGGGTTCGGGGTGGGCTGATCCTGCACCCTGCAGCGCTGAGGGAGGCTGAGCCTTATCGGCTGGGGGGGGGCTTCAGCCCGGCCGGGCAGAGGGGCCCTGGCAGCTCCGGTTTCAGGCAGCGGGGGGACAGGAAAGAAACTCCATTCCTCCTCTGGTTTCCCCCTCTTTGTTTGCACCCGAGGAGAGCTGGCACCAAAGCACAGAGCGATCTCCATCCCCCTGCCTGTGTGCGTGCAGGGGGGGATGTGTGCAGAGCCGTGGGGCGTGCCCAGTCTTGGGGTGCACCCATAAAAGAGGGGGTTTCTTGGTGCATCGCACCTCTCCGCAGCCACACACAAGTGGACTTTTGTCCACAGCCACATCCAGGCCTGGCAGAGGTTCTGCATGTCTGACCATTGTTCCTGCTGCATAAATACACTGCAGGTCACCCCGGAGGCCCTGGCACCCCACCACAGCCACCCGTGCCCCGCTGTGCACCAGGGGCCGAGCCGGGCAGGCTGGGCATCCCTTCCAGGGCCGGATTTCAATGGCCACGGCTGAGTGCCAGCTTTCCACGGCCTTTCTCAGCGGCACGACAGAGCCCGGGCGCTTGGCGAGAAGAAGCGAGGGAGCAGGGGGGAGGGAAGGGGGAGAGGAGCCGGAGCTGGGAGCTGTTAACAGATTTGCTTTTTATGGAGTGCGGGAGTTCATTAGTGGACACAGTCCAGATGGCTGCAATAAGCTGGTGAAATGTGATCCTCCTCCGGGAGCGGGAGGGCTGGCCAGGCTGCCAGAGGGAAGGGGGGTTGGTATTCCCGGGCATTCCCCAGACATACCCCTCATTCCTCACCCTCTCCCGCCTGCCTCCCCAATGCTGGGGAAGAGCAGGTCATGGAGACCAACCTTTGTCTCCTCTCAGAGGGCTGGTGATGGTTGGGGCTGATCCCTGTCCTGGCCCATGCACGGGGCTGATGGCCCTTCAGGGGACAACTTCCAGCCCTGCAGCAAAGTCTGGCTCCTCAGGGTCACACTTAGAATCATAGAATGGCTTGGGTTGGAAGG